TTGCCACCAAAACAAATAATAGCTACAAGAACTAATCTGACCTGCATCAAAAATTATACAAGAAAAAGAGACATACAAAGATAAAAATCTGATATTTGCTAGTCAACCCATTCACATTGTCATTTGAATTGTTGATGGCCAGTAAATAAAGAGCAGAGATTATTACCTTTTTTTTTTATTATCATTTAAAGTTGAAACTACTTGGGCATTGTGTCATTATTTTCTGGTGGGAAGCTGTCTTATTTTCCTAACACCAACAACTGTTCTTGCTAAAAAAAGAAAATAATACTACCACTAAGTAATATATTCTCCTCATGTTCTAAAGCCCCAGGTTGGGCACAGTTCCTAATAAAAACATGTTTAACCCATGTCATTTAGTTGTTATTTTGTTCAAACCCAACCTCTCTCTCTTTCCTTGGGTATTTTTCATCTAAACACAAAAATGATTGTGTTGCCAGCCCTCAAATAGGATCAAACACAACCGCAGTTAAAAGGTTTAGGTAAATCAGATTTTCTCTGTGGTTCCACTAAAAGCAGGAGCTGAGGCAGAAATCCAACACTTTGGGAGATAACACAGCACAAAACAGGGCACAATGGAAAAACCCTCTTTAGTAGGTAAACTGAAGTTTGATCTGATATATCAAGAGTGTGACAGCAAAGGCTGCGTCTATGGTATACTTGCTCAAACAAGCCTTTATTATGCTAAAGCAGGTCTCTGCAGAGACAGATATTAAAATTCAAGATGACATAAACAAATAAAATGCATATATAGATGGTACATTTTTGGTCTGTTCTAGTCTCTGCCAAGTTGAACTTTTTATGTAAAAATAATTACTGTTTACCTATCATTAGCAAAAACACAGTCTGTATGTCAGCCTTGCACTTTGAATTACTGCTACAACTGTATTTCAAGCAATTAGCAATGAGACCATGAAACAAACAACAAATGTTCCGCCTTCATGCAGAAGGTTTTCAGTCTTAAGCTGGGCAATTAATGTCAATCCATTTAGACAATGCCAGGTGGCCTGCATGCTGTAATTATTCTGAAACTGTTTGGCACTGAAAGAAAAAACATTAACCTGTTCTTAACTTAGATACAGTGGGAAATGGACATTCTTTGAGTCAGGAGGGAAATGCGTTCGGCTTAGAAGGAAGGAAACTAGCCTCAGCTAATTTCAGTAAAAAGTAAATGTGACGTAATTACACCAGTTCTATGAGTTGCTGTTTTTTCAAGGTTTTCAAATTGGTTAGCAAAATACAAAGGAACTGAAAAAAAAAAAAAAAAAAATATTTTACAAAAGCTAAATCTGATATGCATATCCTAAGGCTGCCTGTTTTGCGGAATAAACAATTGCAACTTTGCCAACTGTAAATATCAAATATGAACAAGAGTATATAAGAAAAAAAATCCCTAATTTCAATGCAACTCTTGAACTCTGATATATTAATTATAGGTAACAGAGTCCGATTAATTGATTCAAGTAGGAATAGATAGAATAGATAGATTAGATAGATTAGCTTGATTAGATAGCTAGATAGCTAGAAACTAGGTATCCCACAAGCACACCATAAATAATAACAAATCCAATACTATACATTATGCAGCAGATGGGATTTTTTTTTACTTGCTTTGTATATGTTCTGTGCTTATTTTACAGGATAATTACAAACAATGTCACAACATATTTATTTAACTATTAACAGTAAGTTAGAATATATATATATATATTTTTTATATATATTTTCAGTACAATATACAAAGTGAAATACATCAGAGTAATTTGGTTCTATGGCCTTTTTTTTATTGTTGCATTATTTAACATTTTCTCCGTGTGGCCTATTTAGTTAGATTTTTTAGAGTAGCTGTTATGCATATTGATCTAGGTTGTGACTGTTGTCTTTTGTGGGTGTTATTTTGTTTTGAGATCAGGCCATGACACAGCTAGAGCAGGAAATTCCCACTTGCCAATCAACCTGGTGTTTTCAATTAGTTATATGGGAAAATATCTCTAATTTTAATGGGGTAAAATAGGCACTTCCTGTTGCCTTTCATCATGGTGACTTGTCAAATCGGGGCTCGATTGATAATGGCTTTTCATAGTTGTAAGGCATGTTTACAACTCTGAGTGGATCTACATGGAGCTGATTGAACAAATTCAGAGCAGCCGTTGCGAAATCGAAAACTGACTTATGCTAGATCAATTTAGAGTTGAGGATTTGAATCAAAGTTTCTTAAACCTGCTTCTTTAAAGTGTTGAAGATGTAAAAAAAAAGAACAAAAAACAAAACATAACCGTGAATTTCAAGGGTCTCCCAACACTTTGACTTAATTTGTGGATGCATTATTGTCAATCCCCATGATGATGGGTTAGTGTCTAACTGTAATGGGGAGATACGATTTTGAAACCTGTTTACATGTGGAACAGCATCTGACGTAAAAAAAAAAAAAAAAACATCCATTAGAAGTTCATATAAACTTGCTGTGTTGACCTCTGAATATGGGGGCAATTGAAAGGTATATAAAAAAAAAAATCTGTTCACATTTGAATAAAACACCAACAAATATCATCCTCATTCCTAACCAAGTTACTGAAAGTGTTGTTTTTATATTAACAAAAAATAAAAAATAAAAATAGCAAAATTAGAATATAGATTAAAGGATTAGTTCGCTTTTAGATATAGATTAATTTATGGAATAGTTTACAGTTCACTGTTGGTTCATAATGAATCATGTTACATCCATTCTCCCTAATGAGAGCAAAAGAAGGAAGATTGTTATTCTGTTTTTAGCTGGAAGACTAATCATCTCGTTGTGATTAGGAGCTGAAGGTTAATGTGGGCTTTTGCAGATAGGAAAGGAGCTGGGAGTGGGAGAGATCAGACCAGACAGGCTCAGACTGGCAGTATGGCAGCAGCACAAGGGGGCTATAAGTGGCTAAGAGCATATGGATCAATGGGAGGAGAGGCCTGAGCCTCATTACACATGTAAATGCAGCTTCCAGCATGGGGGGCCTGCTTTAAAGTCTTGCTCTTTTAATTATTCCTTTGCTCTGCTCATGATAATTGGGTCTAATGCTGCCCAGGGCCTTTTGGTGGTGTAAGGTGAATAAAACCCTCTAATTACTTTGTCCATTTTTTTATCGTTATTAACTGAAAGACCTGGACCTTTATATGATTGGAAAGCAACAACACCTTTTGTCTTGATTTACAAGACAGCTCCTACAGCTTGATTGGTGCATGGTAAAAGAGAACATAAAAATTACTCAGGGAACTTGATTTGTCTGCAATTTTGTACTTTTATGGAGCCTGTAATTTTTCACTATTTTAAATTTTAGAAAATAAACATATAAATGCCATTTCATTTAATAAAAGGCTTTTTATTGACCAAAAGGTATGTATTTTTTTTTTAATATTTCCCTAGCAAAAGCAGTCATTTGCAGTGCAATAATGTCATATTCAGTTGAATATTATTTTAGAGAACATTTTTTAAACAGCAAATGCCTATAAATGCTGAGATTTGATTGGCTCAAGCTCATTTTATGTTTCATAAAAAGGCATTCAGAATAATTTTTTAAGAGTTTTGTTTTCTGTAATGGAGAGAAGATTTATTCAAATTATGAAAATGCTTTAAAAGACAAAATTGTCTACAAGCACTACCGTATACATTCAAACGTGTGGCTAACACTTCAGTGTATTAATGTTACTGACAATGAAAAAAAATGCAATACTTAATCATGCAGAGAACAATTAAATATATTAAAATATTAATCAAAGCAATTAACAATACCTTTAAAACATTAGATCACACTTTTTCTTATGCGACAAATGGCCTTAACAGGGTGCAAGACCTGGAAGTTACAGGTCTTGTGCCCCTTGTGACAAACAAGTTAGTTTGACTTTAAATTAGTAAAACCTGGTATTTTACAGTCCTTTTGAAATTGTCTTTAAGTTCATTTTAAATCTTTTTTGAAGAAAAAAACAAACAAAATGGAAATGATTCTGACCACTTTTCGATACCCTTTCATTACGTACATTGCAAGAATATGTTTGAGAATTTGACTTGTGCTTGTTTACCATTGTTTAGTAAAACATCAGACATGCAGCAACACACAGACGAGTCTTTGAATTTTGGAATTGCCACCTTTGCTGGAAAAGAGTAGTGATAGCAAGGTGACCTTAGGTCAAGCTTAAAAAAGTTCTCTTTAGGCAACTAGATGCGTAAAGTTTTATAGAAGACGTTTCGCCTCTCATCCAACATACAACAGCTTCTTCAGCTTTAACCACTGAGTATATTAATCTCAGTGCTCCCCATCACTTGTTAGAACTGAAGAAGCCTCTCGGATGAGAGGTGAAATGTCTTCTAGAAAACTTAATGTCCAGCTGCCTAAGATGAACTTTTGCAAGCTTTATGAAGAGCACACTTTCTGGTTTGAACAACTTTTATAATAAATACCAAACTACATGAACAGCCTAGATTTTAAGGCAGTTTTTTACTAAAGCCCACAAAATGTCAGATTTCCAGGCAATGACACCTTTTTTATAAAACAAATAATGATAATGAGAAATCATTTCTAACTTCTATCCACAATTTTACAGCATGTATCCTTAAATATTCTAAAAGCTTATTCGTGAATAACAGAACCAAATTGTTTAACCCGATTTCAATAAATGTGTGTTTTAAAGAAATGTGAGATGCTGATAGACTCTTAACAACGATATATGTTTTAGATAAATAGTATTTTAGCAAAGTAGTTAAAGTGTCTGCAAAATTAAGCAACATCAAACCATTGTTGTTTGTTCTTTGGATAAGTCTCCAATTATTTATGTCAATGAAGAACTGGAAAAAGTTTGAAACATATCAGTGTTATTGTTTAGGTCACAAAAATCTGTCATTTGACCAAAGTTGGTAAACTTTTCAGAGCAACTACCTGGCATCTTCTTTTCACATTGTGTGAATGAAATTTTAATATGGGAAATAAATAAATCAATAATAAACATACCTGTCCTGGTTTCGCATCTTCACATATAGAGGCTTCATATGGTGTAGCAAGCTCAGGAGGATTATCATTTACATCCAGGATCCTAATACTGATGGTGGAGAAGGAAACCATTGTGTGGTTATCTGTTGAGGAGCAAAACAAAACAGGATTTTGTATTAAACCAGTTCACATAAAATTACATCCCAAGACACTTTTTAAGACTAGAATCTTGAACTCCTATAATTTGGATATATATAGTTGATATATATCTTTATGAATTACTAAATTAATATGGAAAAAGAAAAGGAAATTGCTTGTTATCTGTTTTTTCATGTTTGATTAAGTAGGGAAATGAGAATTTAAAATGGAACGGTTCACTGTTTTTCTATAGCCTTTTATAAAACAATTTATAAAAATAGTACTTTTAATTTTTTTTCATAGTTGATTTCATAAATGATTAATAGAGGGGTCATTATAATATAAAAATATACAGCAAACATTATTTCTTCCTATCATATCTCTATCATGCATTAATAGACCTTTGTTCATCCATTTTTGCAAGAAATTTGAGCCAGATATGTCCTATATTTGTCCATTCCTTTTCAATTAAATATTCATAAGAAAGTCATATCATAATGGTTTATGACAACTAAAACTGACCAATATACAATCATATATAAATGATTAGAATATCATCATAAGGTTCACATCAGAAAGTACTTAAGTTCATTAGTGAACCACATTGTCTAGACTGTTTTCAAGCCTTTATTATTTTATGATTACATTTTTTTTATGAAAAATGTAATGTAAATCCATTTAAGAATAAACAATCACATCAGAATAATTGAATACTTTTAATACTTTATCAGAATGTGAGCTATTATTAAAAGTCTTTATTTCCAAAAGACATTTTAAAGATGGACTGACTGGTTCACACAATAAATTTTTTTAATATCATTGTAGATGTGCTTAACAATATAGTATTGTTACCTTGTAAGAAAAATATGATTAAAATAATTGGAGCCTAAGAACAATAACTTAAATTAAAAGTCCTGATACAAGATATATAACAGTATTTCTTAAAATTACTTTAAGAGGTTACATACATTTATCAGCCATCAAAAACAGTGTTTTTTTACAGCCAATAAAACTGTATGCATATGAATTCTTATTAGCACTTTACATACGTAATTGAAACCTAACACATTTTTTTACACAATCAAAGGCAATAATCTGCTGGCGTTGTGGTAATTATGTGGCCTAAAATTCTGCCAGAACACAAAGTGAACATTTAACTGTAATTTAGCAGCATGAGCTGTGCTCAAGCCAGAATTTATAGAAGATTGCAGCTGCTAAAATGATACTGACATGTTTACTTCTTTTTTTTAGAAGACATGCTATGCCTTATGTGCTACATATAAGGCATAAAACTGCATTGGCAGGGATGTTTACAAATAACTTTCTAAAATGCAGTATCAGTGAGATACGTAACACACAAATAGGCTCAATTTTCCACAAGGAAGCAAGCAGCCAGTTTAGCGTGCCAAAGTGCTTAGCCAATAGTCCATCAAACTCCAACCTGAATAACATTTCCTGGCACTGGTGATTGGAAAAAAATGGTACTAAAGTAACCCTTTTTATAACTGGGTCCTTGCCATCTGATAATGTGACTCCTGTACCTGTTTAATAGCCTGAATGCAGGTAAGAAGACCATAGAAAAATGAAAAAATGATGCACATTGCTTCGTATTTTTAGTTCTCTTACCAATATGAACTAAATGAAACAGATATTACAGGTTTGAAGCAAAGCTCCAAGAATTTCATATATATATATATATATATATATATATATATATATATATATATATATATATATATATATATATATATATATATATATATCAAGTTAGCCTTTTGTGTTCATTGTTCACCTTAATGAAATAATGTTTGGTATAGTTTCTGTCATGCTCACAAAACACTGAGTGGGAGCCTGAGGGCCACAGTATGAGTTTCTTTCTCTGTTGTGTGTGCCTATGTAAGGCACGTTTAAAAAAAAAAGGGAGGCCAGGGAACATTATAAGCAAGTTTAATGAACAATCTGTTTGCTTGCAGCACTGGTTTGGCTATCCAGGTTAATTACAATACACACACCAGGAATAAATCTCCATACACAGCTAACAACTCACAGTTAACACACTGGAGTGGCACCCCACAGAGAATGCAGCAACAGCTTACCCATGGGTTGAAATATTCCACACAAATTTCTGCAGCTAAAATTAATTTATGTGAAGCATTTAAATTGAGTTATCATTGATAGGCAGTCAAATGCATCAAATATATTTTGGCCCCCATTGCAATAATAAAAAAAATTATGAAAAAAAGAGTAAAAAATAATGGTGTCAGGAGATAAAGCTAGGCTTTATACTTCAATAAGTTGAATAGACCAATTAGCTTCAATATATTGGAAAAAAGTTCTCAAGCTCTAACAACCTGCCTCACCTTAGACTTCAGACAATGAATAATATAAGGTTTAACTAACGGTGTAAGCCTCACATCATTACACTATTTTTACTGACTTATTTCAGTACAACAAAAATAAATTCTTTCTGAGCTTCTGTGCCAAATATTTATTTTCCTGTTTATTATCTGCACCTATCAGAGATGGGAAGTAACAAAGTACAAATACTTCGTTACTGTACTCAAGTAGATTTTTCTGATATTTTTACTTTACTTTACTACTTATTTTTATGGCGACTTTTTACTTCTACTCCTTACATTTTTACACAAATATCTGTACTTTCTACTCCTTACATTTTAAAAAATTGGCTCATTACTTTAATTTTGAATCATTTCAATGGAGTTACCGTTATTATTTTTCACGTCTTCAATACCAAATTCAATCTAATTGAATGGGAATCTACGTTGCATTTGACGCACCACTACAAGATGAATCGACAGATTCGGCGGTATTCATTCGCGGCAAATCATTGCAGCTTGGTGGCGGTGGCGTTAGCATAGTAGTATGGACGACGAGATGACTGAAAATGAACACAACGGAGATCTAGTCCTATTGGCAGACATCCATTTAAAATGTAGGTAACAGCATGAAAAAAGTGGTTTCTACTTTTACTTTTATACTTTAAGTAAATTTACAAGCTACTTTTACTTTTACTTGAGTAATGAAGTTTAATCAGTACTTCCACTTTTACCAGAGTATTTTTTAACACAAGTATCTGTACTTTTACTCAAGTATGGAAAGTGAGTACTTTTGCCATCTCTGGCACCTATGAATTTTGTTAGAGTGAAACCTCTTATCAAATTGTACATTTTTAGATTTTAACTCAAAGAGCTGTACAGTATAAACAACCTGATGCAAACATTGAATCTCAAAAAGATAATCAAAAAGTTATGTAAAGAAAGTTTATTCATGTAAATGTAGTGCAAGTCTAAATCTTTGTTTTTTCAACAGCCTAGTAACATGTTCTGCACCTTTGTCAGACAGACCTGCCATCAAGAATTGCATAGTGGGAAATTATGCTGAAATTAGTTCAAAAAGACAAGAAGAGGAGTGGGTGTGCCTGTGCAAGCAGGGAGGTATCTGAGCTGTTTTAGAGTTTGACTAGATGGTTCGGTTTCGCTAAAGACAGTGGTTTGGTCTAAATTGTCACTTTTGTCAGCAGTGTAAAATCAAGACACACTTGTATTCAACTGGGCCTGAATCTGGTCTCTCCGCCAGAGATGCAAATTAGCTTACATCGAAACAACCCTTTTAAAAGAAAGAGCATGTCTTAAAAATATATGCATGGCAGATATATTTCATTTTACATTCCCTGTTCTGTTCAGTTAAGCTCCATTGTGTTTGTTTCAATATATAATATAACATACTGTACATTGTATAGTAATAATAATAGATTGTGTAGCGGTACAACACTATCACTAATGCAAGAAACTGCTTTTGGTTGACACCCAGTGGTAATTGTAGAACATTTATAACCGTGTTTAAAGCGATAGTTCGGTATTTTTGACATGAATCTGTATGGCATCCCCATCACCAGCGGCATGCAATCACACTGACTTACCCCTGGCAGCGTCCTGTGAGCAGAGTTATCGTCCAGTTTTGGTCAAGCCAAAAGTAGTCCGGCAGGTTTTTAGGAACAGCGAAATAAAACTTTTCTCTTCCCAAAACATTATGTGTTCAAAAGAGCGATATTTTTGCATCCCAAAAAGATTGTAGTGGAAAAAGTCACACGTCGTTATCAATTGGTCCTATTTTCTCTCTGTTCGTATCAGTGCGCGCCGTCATTCAGACAGCGAGCCCAACAACAGCCATGTCTCCTTCCGCCGCGGAGGGAGACATGGCTGTTGTTGGGCTCGCTGTCTGAATGACGGCGCGCACTGATACGAACAGAGAGAAAATAGGACCAATTGATAACGACGTGTGACTTTTTCCACTACAATCTTTTTGGGATGCAAAAATATCGCTCTTTTGAACACATAATGTTTTGGGAAGAGAAAAGTTTTATTTCGCTGTTCCTAAAAACCTGCCGGACTACTTTTGGCTTGACCAAAACTGGACGATAACTCTGCTCACAGGACGCTGCCAGGGGTAAGTCAGTGTGATTGCATGCCGCTGGTGATGGGGATGCCATACAGATTCATGTCAAAAATACCGAACTATCCCTTTAAGATATCAAGCATATTTGCTCGGAGAAAATGTTTTCAGATAAGCAGGTGTCCTACAAGGAGGCACTGACATTAGTGCAACATTTTGACATTATATTGGTCAGGTTTTCTGTTAATGAGAAAAACAGGACTGTTCATAATAAACACCAGGAAAATAATATTGTCAGTACACACTGTGCCATACAAAGGTAGTAAAACCACTCAAATTACTTTACATTCTGACACATTCCATGAATTTTATTTTTTTTTAATTAACCAACTACTGTAAATTCTGAAGTGGAAAAAAATTATAGATTTTAAATTTCATCAAAATAAATGTCTAAAGACAGTTTATGTAGCAAAACTTTATAGATTATGGAAGTGTATTTAGCTGCAGATTCTTTACAAATAAAAAACTTGGGTATCTATCCACTAGGTTTGCAAATATAGAGACCAGACGTGGGAACTAGTCAGATATATTC